AATGAAGTGGTTTTAATATCTAGTCTATGAACTCCCTTTCAGCTCCAGATCGATTTAGCATCTATTATATATTAAGTAGTACATGATTTTCTGAGGATACAAACAAAACATCCCTGCCCTCAAGGAACTTTTTACTGCTTGACTTTCTCTTCTAATTCTAACTGAAGAGAGGTACTTGAAGACTTACATGTTCTTAAAGGTATTCTGCTGTAAGTTTCTCTGAAATTCTGTAATACTTAGGAAAATATTAGGAATATTAAGGACATATTAGGAACATAGAAACACATATTTGTTGCTTAGACAATTAATATTCTTTGATTTCAACACTTGTTAGTCATGTGACTTTGGGCAAGCCATCTGACTTCCTCAAATCTCAATTTCCTTCTCTGTAAAATGGAAGTAATACAAATAAAATAATAATAAATGATAATATTTTATTACTTACCATACAAGTCTATTTTAAGGAAAGTACTTGGTAAAGTTTAAAAATCTACATAAATTTTAGTTACTGAGTCAACTGAGAAACAAAACAGTCTCAATGTCAATGGCGGTAGACGGAAATCAAAAGCATTAGAGAGATGATGCTCAGATGAAGTAAACCAGGCTAGACACTCTTACTAGGAGGATAACATCAGGCAAGTCTGACAAGTCATAAAGGCTATAATTATTAATAAAGCAAAGGACACATGGCAATGAATGCAAAGAGAAAGGTCAGAATATTGTTCAGAGTTGGCAAATAGAGACATTACAACAGAAGGGACAACATTATTAAGTATTAAGGAAAATAAGCAAAGATGAAGACAAGTATATGTATACTCACATATAATTACCTTGGGAGACACCATTGCCTAGTAATAGGTAATGATCTAAGAGTCAGGATATCTGTAATATACTTCCATTTCGGTTACTAATCTGAAGTATATTATTGACCACTTCATTTAATTTCCCTATGTGTCAATATGATCTATAAAATATGGATAATATAACTTGTTTTAGTGAACTCATAGGATTATGCTAACAATTAATTGATGGGATATCTGTGAAATCATTCAAAAAATGTGAAATCCTTCCACAGTGCCTACAAAAATGGCCACATGTCCCCTAAATTTAAAAAAGCAAACCTCTCCCTACATTCTAGGCCAGTAAATCATCTTCTTCTCTCTCCTTTTGATGCCCAAGCGTCTCACTATTTACTCATTTCTATTCTAATGCAATCTGGATTCTACTACCATTATGCTATAAAAATTACTCTCACATGCATCACCTGATCCTTCCTAGATTTTGTCTTACTCCTTGACCTTTCTGAAGTATTTGATGCTTCAGCCACATCATCCTTTTTTAAACTTTCTTCTCTATCAAGCAGTCCACAAATATTTACTTATTTGATCAACAAGAATTTATTTATTTGATCAACAAGTATTTATTTAGCACCTATGATAATCTAGGCAATGTTCTAGATATAGGGAATACAAGAACTATAATGTGTCCTTTGCTTTATTAATAACTATAGCTTTTATTACTTAAAACATACATATGTCATAATGATATACTACATAATGATATGAACAAATATATATATATGTATATATATACATATATACACTGTGTGTGTATGGGTGTGTGGAGAGAGAGGGGGGAGAGAGAGTAAAGAATGTTACAATACCGAGGTAAAAACACAAAAAAAAATGTTTGCAGAAGTCACAGGTTTGGAAAAGGGGGAAAATGAGATATTGAAACAATTACAAGAGCCAGAAAAGGAAACAAAAACCAAGAATATGCTGACCAAGATATAATGAAGGTAAAAGTGTCTTCATGGGCTTCTTAATATAATAGATTTAGAATTGGAAGGGACCTTAGAGATCATCAATTCTCATTTTGTGTATAAGGAAACTGAGTCCAGAGAAGGGATATAGCTTGTCCAAGGTCACATAAGTAGTAAGTAACAAATCTGGAATTCAAGCTTAGGTCTTCTCCAAATATAATGCAGAGATATAAACAAATAATGCTTATTTGTTTGTATCTACCAAATTGAAGGACGTGTTATATCTAAAATGTAAAATATGTTGTAAGATCATGAAAGAAATGAAAGCCAAATAGGCATTTTTCAAATGTTTTTGACCATTTTCGCAGGCCATTTCTAAGTCAATATTTTCCCACTGCTGATTGGGTCTTTCCTGACTTGTCAGTCATCAATTGATGTTGACTGAACAACTTTTCACCCAATCGGCTTTCATCAGTTGTGGCTTATGAGTTCGTCCTATCTCAGACTGCCCCTTTTCCTTTCCCTGTGTGCTAGTATATGTCATCTGCCCCAAAAAGTACTGCTACTCAATACAGATGATGCAATGTTACCAATTGCATGTTACCATGCAATGCTTGGCATAGATACGGTCCTTCCTAGAAACAGAACGATGTGCTACAGAAATCAGCTTTAGGGTTTTCTTTCTTGTGACTCTTTTGTCATTCAGTATGTCTAAGATTCTATAGCCAATTACTCACAATGCATCCTAAAACGGGATGCCCTTGGACCCAAACTGAGTCAAAATAAAAGCACAGCATGCTCTCAGTATATTAAAAACTCAGAGCACTATCAATGTTTCCGGGTCCATGAGTTTCAGTTTCCTAGGATCCTTGCAGTTCTGCCTGCTTTCCTTACAAGCATATTAGGTACCTAAAATGGTGTCTAAGTGCTGTACTTGGAATAAACATAATTAAGAGTCTGGAGGAGAGTTAAAGAGATAACCACAACTTTTATTAAGGGTTATTCAGCTGAAGGTAATTGAAAACACACGATAAGAACACAGAGGAAAACAAGAAGCTCATTCTCTCTGCTCCTCAGAAATTTCACTAGTTTTATACCAATGGGCACAATACTATCTCAGGGAAGGATTCTGAATCTTTTTTGGTTTAACCCTTTCATGGACAATCCTTATGTTTCAGTCATAGGCAGAGAAAAACTAGAAACCCATGCCTATTAATCTACTACAATATCTCACTACAAACCCAAATACCAAAGTGGAACCAGGAAGCTTCTGTCAGCTCCTCCTTACCTCAAAGATAAAATACAAACTTCACTGTTTGGATTTTAAATCCTTTTGTGATCTGGTTCCAACCTACTTTTCCAAGGTTCGTGATCATTTTTCTCCTTCACACATTCTCTGTTCTGGCCAAACTAGCTTACTTGCTATCGCTCATATAAAACACCCCATCTCCCATCTCTGTGCCTTTGCACAGGCCTTCCCTCCTCACCCCTACCTCTTAGAACCTCTAGCTTCCTTCCAAGTTCAGTTCAAATGCAACCTTCAAGAGAAAGGCAATCCTTATCCTCTCAGTTGCTTCTGCCCTACCCAGGATATTATTTTGGTTTTAATTATCTATATACTTATAAATGTTGCTTTCCTCCAATAGAATATTAACTAGCTCCTTGGAGACTTGGTATTGCTTAATTTGTTTGTTTGGTTTTGTTTACTTGTTGTATAGTTTAATAATGTTCTTGGCATCATTTAATTTTTGTGCCTGGCAACATGGTAGGTGTTGAATAAATGTTTGTTAAATTGAAATGAACTGGAAATTTGAAAGTTCTTAAGAGCTACTAGATGAAGTTGAATACAACCACCAGGAAGTGGTTAATAGGAGACTGGTTATCTTGTGTAGATTGTATTAAACCAGGAAGTGAATTTAGAGCAGCTAAAATCTTGGGGCAGAAGACTTGCAGTCAAAATAATGAAAAAAAATTGCTTGTGAGGAAATGGAGCAAAAGAACCTTTGCATCAGCTTGTGTCTCCCCTCCTCCCCTCCCTGGCCAAAAGAGGACCTTGTGAACTTCAAAAGGTCTGGAAGTTTGGGACCTTTCCAACTTCCCATTGACATCCTAGCAGATTACTTGGAACAGCTTATGGTAGTGACTGTGCTGGGAGCCAAGGATAGACTGGATATAATGAAAAAGGGCAAATTCAATATTCTACTAGGAACCCAGCAGAAAGTTATACTATACCTAAAGGGGACATCATGAAGTCTCATGGAGAGAAGAAAAATACTTCTAGAACTATGATGTTGCCAGTGTCACTTTGCCATAGTATGCTCTCCAATCTTGAGCCCCCTTTCCTCTGGACCCTGCATGTACTTGTGGGAACATTTGTCACAAACTTTGGGGATAGAGGATGTTTTGTGCCAACTACTATACTACCTTAGCAAATATCCCTTACTAATGCTTAGCAATAATTCCTTACTGCCTGATTAGGTGAGGGCAAACTAGACCATTTTTTGCCTCAAGTCTTCCCTAGCCTTTAATTGCTCAACGGGCATTGCCTCAGATGAACTGAGACCTGGGAAAGACCTTACGGTAAAAAGGCCATGGTCTCCCGCTGCATCTAGAGCCATTGCCAGTCATCTTGACCTATGTCTTGCTACTGGACTCTGATGACTTTGGAGGAGAGAGTAAGGCTGATTGATGACTTTGCACAGCTCAGCCACACTTAGATTTAATTCACTTGCAAATCAAGGCATCACTGTCCTGATGTCATTGCTCCTCTTCAAGAACAAAAGACAAACAACAACATCAACTAATAATCATTGGGGAAACCTATAGTACTAAAGACCAATTTTTAAAAAACCCTCAATCCCTCAGGACTATCTCTAGAACCTTAAATGGAGATACATCCTCTAAGTTTTGGGAACCAAATCCAACATTATAAGCGGAGGTTAGGGAAATAAGTCCTGAGTGTGTGTTGAGTATTTTAACATAGGAAGGAAATGCACATAGAGGGAGTAGTGGCCATGGAAAGATGCTCTGGTCCAGGAAGTCACAGAGATGGTAATGTGAGCCACAGGAAAATTGATTGACAATTAATTGGTGATACTGTCTTAATTTGCCACAAACTCCAACTCCATTCCTTCTCACAATTGCTATTATTCAACTGATTTTGCTCTCCAGATGAGCCTCTTGGGAATTCATGCCTCTTCAGTTGTCATCTTCCTCTTAATAGAGCTTATGGTCTTACCTCTACAACATTGGTCGGATCTTGGATGTAGATACCAGCTGGTGACAGCACCTCAATACTAGAAAGACCTTCAGTTCCAAAAACTCCAATTACCACATTGCTTCTTACTATATTCCCCTGTCTTGAGAAATCTACACACAAAAAAGAAAGAAATCAAAAGGAGAAGCTTTAGAACCATAATTAATAATCTTTACTGGTCAAATCCTTTTAAATGTACAAACTGATTATATGTCTCACAGAGTACATGGAATATGCAGATGTCATATGTGTATGTATATGGGTATGTAATATAAACAGAGTATAGAGAAACTGTGCTGAGCATATTTAAGAATATTTAAGACATTATACATTATGCCATCGGCTTGCTCTGTAAAATACATGACATCTTAAATTTATTATAATATATTTAAAACAAATTCATCCATTTACCAGTTTTTCTTCTGGGGACAGCCTTCCAAGGGAGATGTCTCATTTCCATGTAAGTCCCTGAGGAAAAAATACAGTGTAACCAGAGCACATTTCATGCCACTGAACAAAACAAGACATACCAACCATATCTCTTTTTTTTAACTTTTTTAAGTTTAGGAATCACACAGGAAAACTGAGATTTCAAGCACCCATGGGAGAGAGACAGACAGACAGACAGACAGAGAGATAAGACTGAAACAGAGGAACAAAGAAATCATCACTATTGTCATCCTGTTACTAGGAATAGCCAAAAATGAACCACTCCCAAGAAAGAAGACAACAACACCTCATGCTGTTTCCTGTTACTTTATAGGTCAGATTTTTAAGTTTAGGATGTATATTTCTACAATTTTTAAAAGCTGCCACCAGGTGGATGATGGTGTCAGGAATCTCAGTGGTCCTTCACAGTGCAGTCAATTTTCCCACAGATGTGGGCAATTGAAAAAAATAAAGATTATACTTTTCCACTTAGTTACATTTTTTTTCCAGGGGTCAGTTAGGTGGTACAGTGGTTATAGCACTGGGCTTGGAATCAGGATGTCCTGAGTTCAAATTCACCTTCAGACATTCACTAGCTCAGTGACCCTGAACAAGTCACTCAACCTCTTTCTTCATCTGTACGATTGGGAAAATAATAGCACCAACCTCACAGGGTTGTTGTGAGGACCAAATGAGATAATGGGTAAGGAGCTTTATAACCCTATTTCTTTAAACAGTTTTAAAACATGAGCATAACATCTACTATTCTATGAAATAACATATAATTAGCATAAAACATTCCTAAATAATACATGTAATTAGAGATTTAAAGAAATGTAAGTAAACTTTGGTCCCTTTCCTAATATAAACTGTTATTCATTTTAGTCTTTTCTCTCTTTACTCTACACATTTTTAAACAAAGAAACTTTAACTCTTGGATCTTTTAGGTAGTTAAAATCCTGGCCTGATATACAGCTTTCTGAGTTGCAGTCCTCTACAGACCTTCCTCAACTATCCTTACCCATGACTATATAACTTCTTTCTGTTTAAACATGCTTTAGGCTGCTTTCCAGGTTCCCTTCTTCAGGTCTCTGCATTTTTTCACTTGCAGGGTTAGAGGCATTAAAAAGAGTAAGATTTCATCTAGAACTAGCATCTTACTTGGAAAGGAACAATTATTATGAATGAACAAGAATGATTAGTTAATCAATCAGAATTTATTAAGTCTCAGAATTAAGTGCCAGGCACTGTGCTAGGTACTATGGATACAAGTTCAAAGAATGACATATAGGTCCTAACATCCCTGGCAACGGATCAAGTCAAGTCAAGTTATTAACCTCCAAGGGTCTCATTTTCCTCATCTATAAAATGAGATCATTTATTATTTTACTATGTGCTAAGCAATAAGGATACAAACATAAGGGAAAAGAAAGACAAGACCTGACTGGTGGAAAAATCCAGAGAATGAAGGGTGGTTAGTCTGAGCCCTTCCTCAAAATGGTAATTCCAGAAAGAAGAAAAAGGGGCCTTAAAGAAGGCTAGGGAGAGAGGGAGAAGGTAATTGAGCCATAATGGTGACATCCAGAGAATTATCACCTATCCTTTTATTGAAAACCTCTCTAATGAAGGAAAACTCACCAGTAGATCTCACCATGACAGTCTAAGGGATGATGTTTGAGCTGAAAAGAACCTTAGAGGTCATCTGGTCCAATGAGGACAATGAGGCCCTTGGAGCTTAAGTGACATTCCCAATGACACACAGCAAATGGCAGAGTCAGGGCATGAACCCAGGTCCTCTGACTATTTTTGCATAATATTGTCAGGATTTTTTCCCCCTTACATCTAACTAAACTCCACTTTTGTATAATTTCTACCCATTACTCTTAATTCTTCTCAATGGGGCCAATCAGAATACATCCAATCCTACTTCCAATAAAGAGCTTGAAATATTTGAAAAAGAACTGTTATACTCATCCCCAGCCCTACCCTTTAAGCCTTCTCTTCTCAAGGATAAATATTCCTAGTTGTTTCAATGTTACATGTGCCTTTGTTCATCAATGGTGATATTCAGAAATGAATACTGTATCCGAGATGTGGTCTGAGTAGGGCACAGTACAGTGGAGCTGCTAATTCCCACGTATTTCACATCAGATTTCCATTAATAAAGCCTAAGCAGCCACTAGTTTTATCAGCTACCGCATCATTCTGTTGACTCAAATTCAGCTCAGATTTGTAATCCATAAAAATTCACAAGACCTTTTCACAAAAACTGTTGTCTATCTACATCAATCACATCTTATATTTATGCAGTTGACTTTTCATTTTTAATTAAATTATTTTTTAATTAACAAGCATTTTTTTCTCACTCCCACTACCAAAACTAGAAAGAGAGAAAAAAAATAAAAAGAATCCTTGTTACAAATATGCATAGTCAAGCAAAACAAATTCCAACATTGGCCATGTCTGTAGTGATAGTCCATCACCTCTCTGTCTAGGAGATGGGGAGAAGCTTATAGTTTATGAATGCAATGGAATACTATTATGCCATTAAGATATATCATAGGGGGCAGCTAGGTAGTGCAATGGATAGAGTACTGGTCCTAGAATCAGGAGGACCTGAGTTCAAATACACAGATACACTGTGCCTTTGGCACATCCTTTATCAGCCAATCTAGGATTCCAATATTTCAATGACTTGTGATCTCAAGGTAGAGGGTAAGCCCCTCCATTGATGAACACAAGTATAAGGTTTTGGGGTTTGTTTTTAAGTTGGTATGACCAAAAAGTTACCAGTCAATCTCTAGTCATAGACTTCTTTAAATTATCTAGACTGACCCTTTGAAAACAGGTATCAAGTTTTTCCCTGAGCCTGTACTTAAAGCATTTCTAGCTTAGCAGGATCTGCCAGAGACTCCACTCTCCTGGCAGAGACTCCACCAAGTCACCCCTGTACCACTTTTTGGCATTAGAGTAGGCTTTCAATGAAGGGAACTCTGCCAAAAACCAAATAAGGTTTATCTGCCATGGTTTTTTTTTTTGTTGATAAATCATGCTTACTCAGAATGATAAGCACCCCTTTAATAATCTATATTCAAATTTTCCTTGGAGTAGATGTCCAGTTTACTTGCCTATAGTTTGAAGAATCAATTTTCTTATTTTTTTCCAAAAATTGGGGTGGAATTTGCTCATTTGCTTCCTTCAGGACTTTTCCTATTCTTTATGCTTTTTATTTTTTTTAAATAGCTCTAACAACAATTCATCCATCACATTTTTAGATACTCATAAATACTGTTGACTTGGTTCCATTTTCCTCAATATTCATTATCTTTGTTCAGCTCATTCTGAACTTAAGCCCCCCCTAGATTCAATAATAATACTAATAACTAGCATTTATATAGCTTAATGTATGGAAAGCACTTCACAAATATTATCTGATTTGATCCTTACAACAATTGAGGGTGGTAGGTGCTATTATTATCTCTATTTAAAGATGAGGAAACTGAGGCAGAAAGTGTCTTGTACAAGGTCACACGTGTAGTAAGTGTCAGAACCCAGTTCTTCCTGACTCCAGATACAGTGCTCTATCCACCACAACTCTTAACTGTATTCCTATAAGACCATTCCTCTCTTTTGTATTCATCTTTAATGATTAGAACTTACTCCCATCTTTTGTGCCCATCTTTAAACTCTTCCTCAGTCAGGGGCATCTAGGTGGTACAGTGAATACAGCACCAGTCCTAGAGTCAGGAGGACCTGAATTCAAATTCAGCTTCAGATATTTACTAGTTATGTGACCCTCGGCAAGCCACTTAAACCCAACTGCCTCAAAAAAAAATTTTTGTCAATGTAAGTTTTTTAACATTTCTTTAGATACCCTCTTCCTCTTCTTTCTCAGCAAAATCATTTAAGTTTATGTCTTCAGAGTTTTATTCTTGAGATTCTTCTAAACTTCTTGAGGTAACCTTCTATACATATATGCCTAAATTTGTGATTAGTTCTTCCTTTTCATTTCCTAGGCAGATTTTCTTCCATTTGATGTTTCTCTCAACTTTCTCTTTGCCCTTTGATTCCCAAGCTTATGTCAATTTTAATTTGCATTTAATGCTAAAATTTCCCCATTAAACACTTCGCTTAGCAGACCTTCAAGTTTTACAGTCTGGCTTTTGATCCAGAGAGCCAATTCTTAAAGGGAGCTAGCATGTTTGAATGAATTTAAATACAACATAACAGTGCTAGAAACAGATCTCTTCACACCCTTCATCCAGCAAAACATTCTTTGGCTCTCTTGTTCTGCTCTGATGCCTTTTTCATTTTAGACTTTTCCTTTTTATTAGATGGTTCCAAGGGGGCACTGGGCTTTGGGCAGTTATTGCCCCATTGTTCCTCATCATTGACCTATATAGTGGGTGTAAGATGAATATTATTATGGTATTTCAGTTCAAAATGTGATGCATTTGAGTTCCAACATAGACTTGATTTCTTGAGAAGTCAATAGAACGCTTGAGGGAAGAATTCAAGAACTCCCAACGTTCATTTTTGGCAGCCTAGGTAACACTTGGTACATTTCTGTGAAGTCATGCAAAAAATATTTATTTGACCTTTAAATAAAGATAAATACTTACGAGCAGTATGGGGCTCTGAATAGAGAGGTAACCTTATTTTTAGGAAGACCTAGATTCAAGTTTCACCTATGACATGTACTAGCTCTCTGATCATGACTGAATCATTTCATCTTTCAGGACCTCAGACAATATTCTAAGATTTGAAATTACAGGTCAGTTGCAATATTGCATCAGCAAGAATTCCCCCAATGGGAATTCAGATGAAATCACATCTAGACCAAAATAAAATAGCTAGCATTCATATAGTGCATTGAAGTTTACCAAGTGTTTTACATGTGCTATCTCATTTTATCCTCAAAACAACTTATTGAAGTAGGTGCTACTATTCTTTTTTAACCTTTCTTTACTATTTTTATTGAATACATTTATTTTAATAGTATTTTTTTCCAAATTACACATCAAGACAATTTTTAGCATTCATTTTTACAAGATTTTGAGCTCCAAATTTTTCTTTCCCCCTCTCCTCTTTTCTTCCTAAAATAATATGCAATTGATATAGGTTATATATGTGCTATCATGTAAAACATATTTCCATATTTGTCACAGTTGTGAAAGAAGAAACAGAACAGAGGGAAAAAAACAGGAAAAAATAAAGTGAAAAATATGTTTCGATCTGCATCTTCATGATTCCTTTGTACTAATCTTGGATCATGGTGTTGCTGAGAAGAACTGAGTCATTCATAGTTGATCATCACACTATGTTGCTGATACTTTGTACACTATTTTCCTGGTTCTGTTCTTTTCACTTTGCATCATTTCATACAAGTCTTTCCAGGTTTTTTCTGAAATCTGCCTGTTCATCATTTCTTATTGCACAAAAATATTCCATTACATTTGTATATCAAAGCTTGTTCAGCCATTCCCCAATTGATGGGCATCCCTTCAATTTCCAAAATTTTGACACCATGAAAAGGGCTGCTATAAACATTTTTGCATATGTGGATCCTTTCCCATTTTTTATGATTTCTTTGGGATACAGACCTAGTAGTGGTAGTGCTGGATCAAAGGGTATGCACAATTTGGTTGCCCTTTGGGCATAGTTCCAAATTGCTCTGCAGAATGGTTGGATCAGTTCGCAACTAAACCAATAATGCAATATTTATCTCTCCAATATTTATCATTTTCCTTTTGTTTTGTCACATTAGCCAATCTGATATGCGTGAGGTGGTATGTCAGAGTTGTTTTAATTTGCACTTCTCTAATCAAAAGTGATTTAAAGCACTTCTTTATATGCCTATAGATAGTTTTGATTCCTTTATCTGAAAACTACCTATTCATATCCTTTGGCCATTTATCAATTCAGAAATGACTTGTATTCTTATAAGTTTGACTCTGTTCTCTATATATTTGAGAAATGAGGCCTTTAGCAGAGACACTTGCTGTAAAGATTGTTTCCCAGCTTTCTGCTTTCCTTCTAATCTTGGTTGCATTGATTTTGTTTGTGCAAAGATTTTTAATTTAATAAAACCAAAATTATCTATTTTACATTTCTTAACGCTCTCTTTTAGTCATGAACCTGTAACTCATTTATCTTCTCCTTTAAGAATTTCGATGCTATGCCACTTGATGCATATATGTTTAGTATTGATATTATTTCATTGTCTGTGATACCTTTTAACAAGATACAGTTTCCTTTCTTATCTCTTTTAATTAGGTCTTTTTTCGTCTTTTGCTTTTGTGTGTGTGTTTTGTTTTTGTTTTTTTGGGTTTTGTTTTTGTTTTTGTTTTTGTTTTGTTTTTTGCTTTGTCTGAGGTCAGAATTGGTGTCCCTGCTTTTTTTTTTTTTTACTTCAGCTGAAGCATAATAGATTCTGATGCAGCCCTGTACCTTTACTCTATATGTATCTCTCTGCTTCAAGTATTTCTTGTAAAGAACATATTGTAGGATTTTGGTTTTTGATCTATCCTGCTATCTGCTTTCATTTTATGGGAGAGTTCATCCCCTTCACAGTTATGATTACTGTGTATTTTCTTTCATCCTGTTTTTCCTCCTGTTTGTCCTCTCTCTCCTTCCACCCTTTCCCTCCTTGATGGTGTTTTGCTTCTGTCTACCATCTCCCCCAGTCTGCCCTCTCTTCTCTCAGTCCCCTCACCTTTACTTAATCTTTTCCCCTCCTACTTTCCTGTTGGGCAAGATAGATTTCTATATTCCACTGATTGTGTACATTATTCCCTCTTTGAGCCAATACTGATGAGAGTTAGGTTCAAGTGATGCCCATCATCCAACCTCCTATCTTTTCCTCCATTGTAATAAGTTTTTTTGCACCTCTTCATGTGAAATAATTTACCCCATTCTACCTCTCTCTTTCTTCTACACACAGTGTACTCCTCTTTCTCATCCCATAATTATTTTTATGTCATTCCCCAAAGTTGCCTTATACTCATACCCTCGGTCTATGTATATTCCTTTTAGCTTTACTATTAGTGGTACAATTTTTAAGAATTATAAGTATCATCTTCCCATCTGTAAACAGTTCAGCTCCATTGAATCCTTGATCTTTTTACCTTTTTAGGCTTCTCTTGGGTCTTGATATTGTAGATGAAATGTTTGTTCAATTCTGGTCCTTTCTTTATGGAAGTTTGAAATCCTTCTATTTCATTTAATAACCATTTTTTCCCTTGAAGCATTATGTTTAATTTTGTCAGGTAGGTAATTCTTGGTTGTAGTCCTAGCTCCTTTTCCTTTCAGAATATCATGTTCCATGACCTCAGATCCTTTAATGTTGCAGCTGCTAAGTCCTGTGTAATCCTGATTGTGGCTCCCCAATATTTGAATTATTTTTTTCTGGCCACTTGCGGTATTTTTTTCCTTGGCGTGATAGTTCTGTAATTTGGCTATAATGTTCCTTGGAGTTTTTATTTTGGGATCTCTTTCCCAAGGTGATTGGTAGATTATTTCAATGCCTATTTTGCCCTCTGGTTCCAGGATATCAGGACAGTTTTCCTTGATAATTTCTTGAAAGACGTTGTCGAAGTCTTCCTTTTGATTATGGCTTTCAGATAGTCCAAGGATTCTGATATTGTCTCTCCTGGATCTATTTTCCAGGTCAATTGTTTTTCCAATGAGGTATTTTATATTTTCTTCTATTTTTTTCATTCTTTTGAATTTGTTTGATTGACTCTTGATGTCTCATAGAGTCATTGGCTTCCACTTGCCCAATTCTAAATTTTAAGGAATTAAAAGTTAGCTTTTGTATATCCTTTTCCATTTGGCCAATTCTACTTTGAAGCAGTTGTTTTCTTTTTCCAAGCTGTTTTTTCATAATTTTCTTGCATCACTCCCATGTCTTTTCCCAATTTTTCTTCTACTTCTCTTACATCATTTTAAGCTCCTTTTCAAACTCTTCCATGAGCTTTTTCTTTACTTGAGACCACTTTCCATTTTTCTTTGGGGTTTTGCCCTTAAGTGTTTTGACACTGTTGTCCTCTTCTGAGTTCGTGTCTTGATCTTCCTGTCACCATAACAATGTTCTGTGGTTGGATTTTTTTTTTGTTGTTGTTGTTGTTTGTTAATATTTTTGGCCTTTTTCCTTTCTTTTAAATTTGAGCCCTGCACTGGGTGTGTAAGGGGCATTGTCTCAGTCTTCTTGTGCCAGAGGCTACAGTCTCTGGCTGTTTACCTAGTGGTGCACTGATGTTGCCCTGAGGCCCATGGAGAACCCTAGTGTCTTGTGCTTTGCTGAAGTGGTTGGGTGTGAGTGGCTGGCAGTGCTGAAGGTCACAGGGGTCTGGTAGCTTAACCAGGGGTGAGTGCTGGTGTCTGTCATATGCTGAGTCTGGTGGGGTGTTTCTACATTTCCCCAGCGCTACACTGAAGTACATGGCAGTCTGGCTACTGAAGGCTGCTGTTTGTTTGGAGCTATGCTGAAGCATGTGGTGGCTCTCAGAGCTAGAGTCTGCCTGTTTCCCTAACTATGCTGAGGCACATGAGGGGAAGCACTGGTGTTGGCATTTGCCTGCTCCACTACACTGGGGCTCAGGATCTCCTGCTGGTTTGCTGAGGTGGAGCTTGCTGCTGGCTTGCTGGGTCACTTCCTGTCCTGGACTGTACTCTCCTTTAACCCAAATGAGACAGACCTTTCTGGCTGATCTTCCAAGTTTCTTGGGCTAAAAGATTGTTTCACCCCATCTTTTTGCTGGTTCTGCTGTTCTAGGATTTGTTTGGGGACACTATTTTTATAGTTGTTTGGAGGTAAATATGGGAGAGTTAAGGCAATTCACTACTTACTCCACCATCTTGGCTCCCAGAATCATGGAGTGCTATTATTATTTCATTTTACAGATGAGGGAAATGATGCTTAGAGGTCAAGTAGAATTACACAGGTAATGAATATCTGGGGTAGGGTTTAAATATAAATACAAATTTGAATATAAAACTGATGGTCCCCAAAATTGGTACTTCTTCCCTTGGACTCAAAGCCCATGTATAGGGTCATTTACTGGCCCAGAATTCTGAATAAAGAGGGAGGCAGAGTTGATGTCATGTCTATGAACAATAGGCAGCTTATAGGCACCAGAGGCCAGCACATGAGCAAATGGGAAATCTAAATTTTTAAATGATAGCTACCACTGGGAGGAAAAAAAAATGTTCTCCTCAGTAATGCTGATGATGACCAGTCCTCCTTGACTTACCCACTACTAGCCCATGGCCTAAAATGTTGTAGAACACATTATTCTTCACGATGATATTTGAGGTACTGGACAGGCTAAGGCCCCTGCTGAAGGAATCCCGCACTGAACAGCCCCGTATGTATGAATCTAGAATAGGAATGGAAAGAATATGTTTACAAGAGAAATGTAACTTATTTTTTATAGTCCAGTCTCTGATAAAGACACCCAAAGGAAGTCATGTTGTGTAAAAATCACGCACTCACTGACACAGATAAGTTAGAGGGGATGACAACATTAAGAAAGGTCAGCTTGGCTAAGGAAGATGAATTCCCAGGAAAGTGAGAATCAAGATTTTTAATAGGGAAAAAGCACAATTTAATCCCAAAGCAAAAACTAAACTGTGAAAACCGTGCCAGAGGATGGGAAAGCATTTTAAGTGATACATGAACATGTGGCCATTACAAAAGTTATCATTGGTCCCACTGACTTCAATCTGGTTAGAATATGACAAGACTTCCTCAGGTTTCATGAAGGAGTAAGGGGTATGACTTCACAACTGACATCGCTGTTTGGTTCTTTTTTTTTTTTCGATAGTATTACATAATATGAGATAAGGAAGTATGCTGCTTTGTGAAATGCAAATCAGGCTTTTTAACATGCCAGGAGAGATTTTTCTGTGATGGATTATAGAGATCATAAAATCATAGACTGAAAGCTTGAAAGAACCCCAGAGGTCATCTAGTCCAACGTCCTTATTTTACAGATGAGGAAACTGAGGTCTGGGAAGGGACAAGTAGATCCTCATCCCTAATCATGATAAAAATTGAATTCAACTTTTTTTTTTTAATTTGAAAACTATTTTAGTACAGTGGAACAATAGCTGGAATGTGTACAAAGCTCAACAGACTTTTAAAAGTAATATATCAAGGTCTTAGGATCATAGATTTGGAGCTGGAACAGCCCTTAAAGGCTATATAAGTTAAGCCCCTCATTTTATAGATGAGGAAACTGAGGTCCAAAGAGATTAAGTGACTTACCCAAGGTCACACAGTTAGGTGGCAGAGTTTGGACTCAAACACCAGGGATTCTAAGCTCAACAGCAGTCTCCAGCTCTCAGCCAGTAGCAGCTCTTGTATATCGTACCTTCAGTGTGGCCACAGTAACTTTTCCACAATGAAAGGGGCCTTCAAGCTGCCATGAAATTCTAGAATCTGTAGCATGTATGCTAAGAATGGGCAGGTCCTAGGTTATTCCTCCCAAGGATCATTTTGAAGAAACTTAGATACAGTGGATAAACCCAAAGGCATGAAGACTAGTAGGAATTCCAGCACTATGGTTGGTCAATCAGGACAATAATGAAGAGCAGAGGGATGTTTGGGTGGTGCTGAAATCAAAGCATACAAGAACCCATCTCTTTTTTCTGGCCTTGATGATCGTCTGTCTCTCCTGCATGTAATATAAGCCTACAGAATCAGGGCAAAAAAAGGCAGTTCTTTTTATTCCCCCATAGGATGGAAGGGAAGAAGGGTGAAAAAGAAGAAAGGAAGTGAGGAAACAAAAGGAAGTGCATGGAATATCATAATTCTAACCACCTCACCTTTCATAGATCCAATCACATTTAGTGCACACAGGTGTTTCCGAAAGGCTTGTCCCATATACTGAAATTGGACTCCCTGCAGTTGGACCTGGCTGGGCTCTCCTGGGAATGACTGCACAGTAACTACAGCCCCCAGATCCATCGATCCAGGCTTCTTTTTACTCCTTGAATACAAGCAGTGCTGGAAGATATCTGAAACACAGTTAAGGGAAGTATCATAAAATAGCCAATTATTCCCTGCACTACTTTGCTGCTGTGAAAAGGGACCACTCCTGACAGAATAGCAAACATGATGCAGGTATATCTCACTTGGTGCCATAGAGTAACTCCTTGAAAATGCATTTTGTAAGTCAATATGTATTCCCTGACTCATTTTAAAATGCATTTTGGAAGCTTATAATTTAAAATAAATGTGCTATGTGACCTCTTTGTAATCAAGGTTGGAGTTCTCCTTGAGAGACAGCATAATCTATGGAAAGAATGATGTCATTGTTGTTCAGTTGTTTCAGTCATGTTCTACTCTTCATGACCCTATTTTTGTTTTCTTGGCAAAGATACTAGAGTGGTTTGCCATTTCCTTCTCCAGTTCATTTTACAGATGAGGAACTGAGGCAGACAAGGTTAAGTGACTTGTCCAGGGTCACACAGCTAGTAAGTGTGGGAGGCCAGATTTGAACTCAGGAAGATGAAGCTTTCTGACTCCAGACCTGGTGCTCTATCCACTGTGCCACCTAGCTGCCTCAGAAAAGAATGACAGACTTGGAAAAAGGAAAAGCAGGGCTCAAATCCCACCTTGGCCACATATTAGCTCTGTGATCAGACAAGTCATTTAATCACTCTGAGCTTCTGTTTCATCACTTGTAAAATGGGAACACCACCGATAAGACACATTTCTTCGGGAGGATAAGATCATAAGGAAGGGACCTTAGAGGTCAAATAATCCAATGTCCTCATTTTCTAGATGAGAAAATCAAGGTGAAGAAAAGTTCATGTAGGTAGTACGGAGTAGAGCCAGAATTCAAATTAAGATCCAATGAGTCTAAGTTGAGCACCTTTCTACTACACAATTTAAGATTCAAATGAGATATATGTATGTGAAGCCCTTGGTAAACCACAAAACACCATGTAATGTCATTTATAATTAAGGTACTACACATGTAACAACACCACCACCATTGTCACTGCTGCCAGTAAGGTTAATAACAGGTATAATAATACAGTCTTTGATTCCTGTATTAATCTTTTTGAGAGACTCATAGGATTGGTGTTGAGGCAACTAGATGGTTCAGTGGATAGAGTGTTGGGCTTGGAGTCAGGAAGACCTGAGTTCAAATCCGGCCTCAGATACTTACTTGTGACACTGGGCAAGTCACTTAGCCCTGTTTGCCTCAGTTTTCTCATCTGTAAAATGAGCTGGAGAAGGAAATGGCAAACCACTCCAGTGTCTTTGCCAAGAAAACCCCAAATGGGGTCACGAAGAGTTGGACCATGACTGAAAAATGACTGAATAAAGGATTAGTGCTCCAAAACTAGATGGGGTATTAAATGCAATTTAGTCTAAAATTTTCATTTTACAGATAAGGAAACTGAAGCCCAGTGAGGTTAAGCAACTTTCACAGGGTCACACAGGTAGTAAACTTCAGAGGCCAGATTTGAATCCAGGTCCTGACTTCAGAGCCTCTTTCCAGTGTTCAATGCCTGATTTGGATAATATCACTTGTAGGACCTATCTCTCCAAGATGTAACAGCAGCAGCTAACATTTCCCCATTGCTAAATGTCCTTTTTTTTTTCCTTTATGCATGAAGAACTTCAGAGACAAATAAATTATGTAAATTGCAAAGCCAGGATGAAGGCCAGTTTCCTTTTTCCCTGTTCAGTATTCTTTTTCACTATTCTATGCTCCCATCCTCTGAATTGCTAGAGGGTTCCTAGCCCCACTTTCTATGAAAGAATGGAGGGAGAACACCTTGAGGGGTTGAACATCTGGGAAGAGGCTTACACATAGTCATTTCGGTTTAGCATTCATCCTCTGAATAGCATCCTCTGTAAAAAAATTTTTTTTAATTAGGAAGGAACAATACTACGTCCAATTCCTTCTGGTTCTGTCTAGAGGGAAACCTAGTTACTCTTCATAATGTGTGGCAAAATCCATAATCATGGCAAGATCCCTGGATAGATTGAGAAGATCTAGGTTTGCATCTCAGCACTGATAATTACTGATATGTAACTGAGGAAATGTCACTTAACTTAATTGTGAAACTCAGTTTCCTAATCTATAAAATGGAGATAATGATAATTATCTACCTATGTCATGTGATTATTGTTAGGATTAAATTATATGATACATGTAATGCATTTTATGAAACATAAATATGCATTTAAATTATTATTATTGTTGTCATAAGCTTCTTTAATGTCTCCCAGTTTTTCCTTCCATATTTTCTAGAATAAGGACATTGGATTATTTGATCTCTAAAGTGAAAAGCCTTCCCTATGATCCTATCATCCCTAGAAAATAAGTCCTTTGGGTGCCATTCCCATTTTACAATTTACCATTTACACCATTTATGATAGGGATAAATGGATGAGATTCGAGTATATGAGAATAGAACAGGAAAAGGCCTGAGTCTCCCAGAAAATATGGCTTGGAGCTCTGAACCTTAAACAGAATAGTAAACAAGACATCTGAGTTTAATTCCTAACTCTGTTGCTATTTCATTATGACCAAGGTATTTCAATCTCAATATTCTCACTTGTGAAATTGAAACAAAAATAAATTACCTTTCCCATCTCTTCTTCAGAAAGATAAGTGAGAATGATTAAATGAGTCTAATTCTCACTTCTTGTATAGGTTAGATTATCAACATGCCCTTCCCAGAATAAAGTTTGTGACCTTCCAGTCACAAACACAATCCTTTCTAGAGTACACATGTAAGAAAATCTAAAAATGTAGTAGTACATTGAGTTATAGAAACATTGAGCATTCAAGCTGAAAAGCCCTTTGAAATCATTTATTCAAACCTCCTCATTACTCAGATACAAAAACTGAGGCCAAAGTATTTTGGTCAATTATCTCAAATCACAGAGATTAGTAAAAAGAAAAGCCAGAATGTGAATCATAGGAACTAGAATTGGAAGGGTCCTTAAGACCATCTATTCCAGTCCCCTCATTTTATGAACGAAAACTAAGCCCTAGGACTTAAGTTACTCGCCCAAGTTGACACAGGCTGTCATCAGAAGCAGAACATGAATCCAAGACCTCTGATTCCTGAATTCTACTTCCCACCCCATTTTTGAAGACTAGGTCCAAAGAGTAACATTTTAATTTGCCCAAGGTCACAGAGGTAAGTCAGGAAAGGGAGTGGTTGGTGATTTGAACCCCAGTGGTCTGAATCCAAATCTAACATTCTGCTATGGTAACATGCCTTTTCAACGACAGCAACTGTTCTTCAAGACAGAGTAAGGATTCTAATTCACATTAATGAATATGCCTTTCTCTCACCCTTCTATGTATTTCTTGTTCTCTGACTGTTTTGACTCTTGACTCTGTACTCTGATAAAGTTTTGTACTGAGCCTTTGGGCCCAAAGTCTCTCCTCCAATTACAGATTTTTCACAATCACTCCAACCTATAAGGCTTACTGCTCACCCACATACACTATGAAGGGGAGCTAGGTTCCACTCTAGTCAGAACCAGGAGGAGTTGGACACAGTATTATCACTTCCTCATTATAAAATTTTATTTTCCCCCACATGGTTTGGCCATAGCTCATTCCACACTATGCAAGAGGGGAGACACTTACGCATGTTAATTAATTTGGACAGCTGGAATGAAGATATCAAATAAATGCTGTAATGAACAAAGGCATCAGATAATAGGCAACATAACATAGTCAATAACCCTCCTGACCATGATTTCTGACTTCAATTCCTACCCCTACCCTTAATTTTTCACTTAACGAGTACCCATCTAAAGAATGGGGAAATGACCTCTGGAGTAGTTTCTTCTCCGGGGACAAGAGAACCTGAAACATTTAGAAAGACCTGTCATATTTCTCCAGCTAGAGGGGACACCTGTACAGAGGCAGGCTATTATCATTTATTTAATTTAACAACCTTTCTTGAATTGAAGCAGATTCTCCAATGTAAAATATTAATTAAAAGCTTTCGATAAGGACACATTGCTGCCTTCACTCTGTTATTTCCAAAAATCCATAATAATTCCAAAATTCCAAAAATATAACCACCTACCTATCTAGATCTAGATCTATCTATCTATCTATCTATCTATCTATCTATCTATCTATCTATATGTGTGTGTATGTATGTATATTACTATAACAAAGATGTAAATTGTAACCCACAAATCCACGTTAAATAATCCCCACAGTCTCCTTCCCCCTGCAAAAAAAAAAAAAAAAGCCCTGGAAGAAATATTGAAGAAAATTATCTTATCGTGACTGATGATTGTAAGAGTTATCATGTAATCACTGCATGCTTTATTCTTCTGCTGTTATTGGTTACGCCTTAGCCTCTCTCTGGATGCTTTATAATTTGGGGACATTATGGCGGGGGAAGGGAAAATGTCTTGTCAGAATGGTACAGCAAAAAGGCCACAGTGGTTACTGCAAAAGAATCCAGAGAAATAGTAGTACCCTCAGTATGAGTTTTTCTAGGTTTTCACCACTAACATTCCCCAGTTGGATCTTCCAGCTAACTGTGGATACAAAGTAAGTGGAAGAGGATGAGGATGAGGAGGACGAGAAGGAGACAGTATAGCACAGCACAGTAGCCACCACAATGACTCTTCTGTGTGTTATAGGAACAATAGTATTTAGAGATGAATAAATAGAATGTAGAGACCCAAAGGGAAATTTCATGCCCTTGAATATAACTTTGTATCTATTTTACATATGCCAATATGTGTACAAGTGGTCATGCTGATAGAATGTAAGCTCCTTGAGGGCAGGTTCTATTTCTCCATTGTCATTGTATTTCTCAAAACCTAGCATAGCGACTGGCACAAAATGAATGCTTATTGATTGGCCGATTCCCGGAAGTACCTGTGGCTAGCATCTCCCACCTGGAAGAGAGAATTGAGTTCATTATGAGGGCTCTCAAGATCATTGACACTTTCATTAGATTTGTGGCCCATGGTTGTAGGTAGGGAGACATGACCTCAAATTTGAAATATTTATCATCCAAATTACCCATGCTAATAAAATTACAATTATCACCCAAAAAATGAATCATCCAAAAACTCATTCCTGTTATGCTTTCTCAGGACTTGATTTAGAAAAATGACTCTGCTACCTTCTTTGTGACCTTAGGTAAGTCATTTCTCTTCTCTGGGCCTCAGTATCCTCATCTATAAAAAAGAGGGGATTTGTGCAATATGATCACTAAGGTTCCTTAGAGCTCTAAATTTATCATTTCATGACCTTGGAATAATCCATCTTAATCCAATCTAACAAACATATTTCAGATATCTACTATGTGTAGCTTACTAAAGTAATGTCATTCACACATACATACAGAATAGATAATCCAGTGGCTAGCAATAAAAAGCCAATTGATAAAATATTTTATACTTTAGTGCTTTTTGCTATAATTTTTATTTGTCACACTGGTGCTAACTAACATTTTTTTAGCAGAGACACCTTGTCATTGTTTTATCTTGCTGTTCCTCATCCTTGTGCACAGTAGTTCTGAGGGACACATAGTGCTTTGTAAAATTAAAGTAAGTTAAAATTAATTTTGATTTGAAAACTTTGTAATACTATTTTTAAGATTAGGGTCGAAACCCTGAAATATGGTTAAAAATAACCAGAGTTAGTGCTTCCCCTTGTGAAATTGGTCATATTCATAGATCAAACAGGGTCTTAACCCCAATAACTATATAATCCATTAGTTCTCAACCTTTTCCAGGTAGTTGTTGTTTGTCCTTTGTTTTCAAAGACGACCAAAGATACCACAAGATGATATCTTGACTTGTACATGAATTGAATTTAAGTGAAGCAGAGTTACACATCAGCCTCAGTTACTTCAGCCTCACTCTTCCAGAGTCATCAAAGTCCAGTGGTAAGACAAAAGTCAGGACAATCGGTGATGGCCAAGGTGCAATGGATGACCTTAACATCTTCGATGACTGATCAAGCTCTAAGTGCTCCACAGATCTGCTTCACCTTCACCTTCAGGAACATCAGAACAAATTGTTCTCATCTGCCCATTTATTTTATTTTTAATTAACAGAACAAAACAAGCATTTACTTCTTTACAAATTTTTTGTGAAACAACATTTTTTTTTTCTGAGAAGGGGTCCACAGCCTGCAACACTGCCAAAGTGATCCATGACACACAAAAGTATTAAGAATCTGTGAGCTTAGCAAGAGCATCAATGTGATTCAAGACCAGTCACCCTGCCATCTACTTAAGTAATGTTCACAAAACCAGAGATTATCAGTGTTTGAAGAAATCTCAAGGATCATCTAGTCCAATCTATACCAAAATAAAAATCTTCCCTGTATTCTTCCCAATGATGGTCATCCAGCCTTTAGTTGAAGACTTCACATGTTGGGAAACATTCCACTCTTGGCTTGTCTAATGATTTCAAAGTTTGATTTGGCTTTATTTCCTGATTTTTTGAAAAATCTTTTCTCCTGCCTCAGCACTTCCGTCTTGTATTTGTGAGGTTGCCTTTTTTTTAACCCAAGTGTAATACTTCACATTTGTCCCAATTAAATTTCATTATCTTAGACCCAATATTCAAATCTGTTGAGATCTATTTGGATTCTCACTCTATTATTCTAACTATCCCTCCTGTTTCATCTGGAAATGTGACCAGCATGCCATCAACATTTTTATCCAAGCCAATAGTAAAAATATTAAACAGCCCAGATCTAAGCACAGATCACTGGGTCACTCCCACTTCAAAGCCGGCATCAAGTCACTTACTACTCAGCTATTCAACCAGCTCTGAATCCACCTAACTCTATTATCTATTATTTAGCTCATGTGTCTCCAGCATTTACATAAAACTGGCATCAAGAACATTTTCAAATGCTTTATTAAAGTCACTCTAGGTAAACTATAGCTACAGCATTTCCTTTATCTACCAGTCTAATAACCGAATCAAAAATAGAAATGTGGTTATCTGGCATGAGTTGTTCCTGATGAAGCCAACCTATTTTTTTGTGTGATCGTTACTTCCTTTTCTAGATATTTATAATCATCCCTTTTGTATTATGTTCTAAACATTTTCCATGTATGCTCACTGGTCTATAATTGTGAGGCTTACTTTCTTCTCTAAAAAAAAAAAATTAAAGATATGTGTTCACTTCTCTAGTCCAATGGCTCCTCACCTTTTTCATTAACAAAAATCACTGGCAAGAAAAATCACTGACAGTGGTTCAGTCATCCCATTTGCCAATTGTTTTAGGACCCTAACATATTGTTCATCTGGGCATGGTGACTTGAACTCACTAGATGGTTAGGCTTTCTCTTACTATTTCCTTATTTATCTTGGGATAAGTAATCTCCTGTCTCACAATTCCATTCTCACTTTTATCCTACCATTTTTTTAGACAAAATATTCATAAAATATAATAAATGCACATGGGATTTCCACATATTCAATGTAAGAGAATTTAATAGCTGAAATGAATCTGAGTCCCATGCCATAACATTCTAGGGAACTAGGAATGATATAACAAAAGGGTTTAGAGTTTACCCAAGGCAGCTTTCAGTAATACCAAACCACGTATCTGAACAGTAAAAATGAAATGAACTTCAATTTCCAAACTTTAATATTTAAAGGTTATGTATTATCTAGGGAAAAAAATTAACACAATTTAAAGAATAGATGTGCTTCAATGTTATCCTACTTAGAAGACCTTCAAACCTAGTGATTCCATAATATCATTACAAAGTTACCATGTTGGCATTATTTTTCCACTCCATGTTACTTGTTACCAGAAGACTCCCTTACCTTCTGGAAACTTGGTTTCAGTACACAGACCAAGGTGTGCCATCCTCTCACTGGTGAGATATCCTTGGATGGCAATATTCCTGCTGAGTAAAGCCACTGTAGCCCTTAAAGCAAGGTGATGCCCAGCTATATTATGTTCTAGAAAGCCATGAGAATATCTGAAACAAAAAGAAACACAACAGAATATATTAAATTGCAAAGGTTATTGTTATTGTTGTCAAATATCATATTTTCTCACTTTTGGATCTAAATTATACCACTTTGGGGTAGTATATCATGAATATGACCTGTACATTATAAATTATTAATAGGACAACTAAAGTTTAGAGTTTGCTATCATATACAATAGTAACTCAGTCAAGAAAGATGTTCATCTAGAGATTCATCCTAGCATAGTGGATAAAATGTTGGACATAGAACCAGAAAGCACTGGGTTCAAATCCTATCTCCAACATGTTACTTATTTTTGCCTTAGTTTTGTCATCTGCAAAATGCGGGTATTTTTAGAATACTACAATACTTACCTTATCAGATTTTGTGAGACTCAGATGACAGGAGTAAAACATTTCACAAATTTTAAGATATTATGTAACTTTCAGTTTAAAAAAAAAAACCTATGATTTCATTGGATCAGAAAACTCAGTTAGGAAACTCCCTCTGCCACTAGAGAATAGTTGCACCCCATTCTGTAACTAATTAAGATAATTACCAGAGACACTGAGAAAGAAATTGATTTGCCCTTAACCACATGGCCTATATATCTTAAAGTTAGAACTTGAAACAGGTCTTCTTGGGTCCACAGCTAGTTTTCTATCCACTATATCATGCTGTGTCTATTTTTAAAAATAATATCACCGTTATTTCCATTATTACCATCATCACTGTCATTATCACCATCATCATCATTACCACAACTATCACTGCCATCACGGAGTGTTTCATGGTTCAACCACTTTTATCAAGGATGGATTTAACTAGAATAGAATTAAGTTAATGAAAGACAAGACTCCCTCCCAATATATCTGTGACTTCTTCATCTTTCATCTACATCAGGCCAACTTAAGTTCCAAGCCAAGTCCTAAATCAGGCCAAACATATTACCTCAAAGGTGACTTAAGATAGAGTTCTGCACCGTGCACACTGTCTATGATGGCAATCTCTTCTTGCCCTTGAGAGCCTTCCAGGGTGACTCCACTAATGACAACTTCTTCCCCAGGATGCCAGTCTACAGGGTCCTCCAAGGCTAACATGGTATCATTGGCTTGAGCTGTAGTCCGTAGGTGTGTGAAGCTCACCTCTGGCATTAGGCCTAAAGCAGTTCAAGTAATAAAACCAATAAGAACCTTCCATAAAATGGTTAATAGAAAGTATATTTTTAAATGAGATTAAAAATAGTTTAACCATACTAGTATTTATTTACTTTGTCTTCTGATATTTAAGTCATATTAGCTGGATAAACTGGAAAAAAATGACACAGTCGTTATTTGGTTTCCTCATCAACCAAAGTAAAGCCATATGTAGTCATTCTTAATCATAAATGGAGGTGGAGGGGGAAAATGGAAAAAATAAAGAAAGAAATGGAAAGGTATGGGTAATACAAAGTAAGAGAGAAAGTGCCATCAACAATGGCTTTGTCTGGCTCCAGTGGCAGCAAGGTGGCGCAGTAGATAGAGTGCCAGGCCTGGAGTCAGGAAGATCCATCTTCCTGAGTTCAAATCTGGCGTCAGACACTTACTAGCTGTATGACCCTGGGCAAGTCATTTAATCCTGTTTGCCTTATATTCCTCATCTATAAAATGAGCTGGGCAACTAGGTGGTGCAGTGGATAGAGAGCTGGCCTATAGTCAGGAAGACTCATCTTCCTGTGTTTAAATCCATCCTCAAACACTTATTAGCTGTGTGACCTGGACAAGTCATCTAACCCTGTTTGCCTCCGTTTTCTCTTCTGTAAAATGAACTGCAGAAGGAAATGGCAAACCACCCCAGCATCGTCGCCAAGAAAACCTCAAATAGGGTCACAGTCTGAAATGACTAACAACAGTGGCATGGAAGAGAAAAGATAATGTAGTGGGAATATTAATAAAAATAATAGTAGCTCACATTTTTCTAGCACTTTAAGGTTTGAAAAGTACTTTACTCTTGAAGTTTGCATTAGCTTATTCAAAAGAAAACTGGACTTGGCATCAGAAGATTGCAACTCTATAACTAGAAGGGACTTCAGAGACGATGTAGGCCAGCTTCCTTAATTGGCAGTTGAGGAAACTGAGGCCTAGAGATGAAGTGGCTTGTCCAAAATCAAACAGGTAGTAACTATCAGAGGTAGGATTTGAATTCATGTCCTCTGACTTGAGAGTCAGTGCCCCTTTCACTATATCACTCTGTCTTTGGCCTCAAATACTGATCTTGTAACTTATAACCTTTGTGACTTTAGCAAATTTCTTGGTCACTCTGAGCTTTCTTTTTTTCTCATATGAAAAATGATAAGATTACAGTTAGAGGGGCTCCAAGATCTCTCAAAACTCTAGATCTTATGATCCATAAAGACTGGATAAAAATATGTCTAAAAGTTTATGCCAACCCTAAAATTTCACAACAATCCTCCCTACTCCTAAGACTTTGGTGCGTGTAAATTCATATTAAAGTATGTCAAGGTTGTATCCACAAAGCAGAAACTCTTCTGCCTGGTTTTTTATATACTCCATAATCTGTTACCATCCCAAATGTCCAATTACCATTGTCCAAATTCATTTTTAGTGAAGGCAACCTCTTCACTGAATCAAATACACATCAGGATCAATCCTGCCTACTTTCTTTACTTACTTTGAGTCAGGAGCTTCACCAAATGCATAGCACCTGAAATGGGCGTTGAAGGAAATCAAAGGATTATGAGAGATAGAGATAAGGAAGGAATGTATCCCAGGCATGGAGGAAGGCTTGTACAAATGCAAAGAGGAAGGATACAGGATGGTGAGTTCATCTTCCACCTACTTCACAAGTTGCCCTTGTTCTCCCTCTCTCTGACTTCCCTCTCTGAATTTGTACAGCATTTATGTCCATTTCACACAAATTATCAGTTATGGAGTATTTTGTTCTGTTGATGAATGTCTCATCTGGGTTCAGATTCTTATAATCTAGCCACTGCTTACCCATGTTCAGACTCCTTAAGAGTCTGCCCAGTATGACAATGTTCTAATAAACCTTGTCTTTGGCTGAAAGGCTTGGGTCGAATTCTTTTGGGCAGGACCTGCATGTTGTGATATTGGGGTCCCAGTACCCCTGAACACCAAAACCACATAATTTTGGTGGCCCATATGGGGGAAACTGCCTAACTCCAAGTTCTTCTCCAGTCAAGACTGGAAGGTATGTAAGCCTGCTCTCCCTTCCTTTCTTGCTCTGCAGTTGGGGTCACTGTCTAAGCACCAAGGCTCGGAGGTGTTTTTCAGGCAGACAGTTATGAGGCTGTCTCGCACTCAACCTGATGCTCTCTAGCTCTCAGTTGACTGAGTCAGTTGAAGACCACAGTCCTGGGTACACCTTCCACAGCAAAGAGGACAAGGATGGACACCCTATCTGGAAGTGTATCTGTTAATTCCCTCGGCGCTAGGGAATTGGGAAAAACTGCAGTTGCTTTTTAGTTCCCTGAGGCTTACTTATTCCCTTCCCTCTACACCTCTGAATCCTTCTTCATGGAGGTTACAGGGAAAGTTAGACCAGCTAAAAGTATCTTGGCATATTCTGGAGGTTTTGTGATTGATCATTAAGGAGTTTTGAAACCCCTGTACAACCTGGACACTCCCTTCCCTTCAGTCAAGAGAGTATCTGTTAACCCCTCTCATAGGAGAAGAGAGTTTCACCCTTTATCCCTCACCTTTGATTTTGTCCTCCCCCACCTGGGAAATGAAGGAGGGGGGAGGGGCGGCAGCTACAGCATGGGCCTCCCTGGCAATGGCCTTGGGCCCTAGGGCAACCTTTGCCTGGAAGCATCACCCAGGTTCAGCACATCCGGCTCAAGGTAATGAAGCTAGCCTCCAAATTTGGGTAAGCATGCTCTTTTAAATTTGTAGTTTTAACTGTTAATGATGAGATGTTGATTCTCTATGTAAAGTAATTTGGAAGTGCATTTAACAAAACTGAAGTCACCTAATTGGTAATGGGTTTGTTTCAAGTTTCAAATTGGTGAACTTTCTATATCAGTTATGTCAAGCAAATTTTCATAGTTTGGTTACTGCTAAAATAATTTAGCTATTGTTGGTTATTGTTTTAATGTGTAAACTAGCCAAAGAGTTTGTTTGGGTTATGTATGGCATGCTGAGAATTTGCAAGTGTATAGAAATCTCTAATGATTGGCTTTTTACACCAAGACAAATTAAAGTTTGAGATGTAAATCCTAGAAAAGTTTTTTCCTAAGCTGTGATTAGTAAAACTTGCTGTTTGAGGTAAAAGCTCATAGGATTTTATTTTGAGTTGTCTGATGCATCATAATCCATAAATAATCAATAATCCGCCATCTGAGAGATGCCACAAGCTACTCAGAGAAGGTGATACTGGTGGAAAGCCAGCATTGGGAAAAGCTGAGAGGACAATTTTAGCCTCAGTCTAAGATGGGATCCTCCTGGCTCAGTTTCCCCATTATGTTCCTTTAAAGGGAATATTACCCATCTGGCTATTCCTGAGTCTGGCTATGAGGTGTATTTGATAATTGCATGGTTGGAAAACTGAGTTTTCCAAACAGAGCTAAGGATATTTTATCCTGTCATTTGGGCCCTGAAGTCTTTTCTGTCAGATTTGTATCTTCCAGACTACAGGCTGTTCACCTACAGTTGGTAGCAAACAGCAGGTCCCAGTCAATGTCTATTGTTCCCTGAATTCAGCTTGTGCTCAGCTCCAATCAAGCTCCTCTTTGGGACCCCCTCGAAGCAGGGACAGCTCTACACCCCTTGCCAGCAGAAAGCAGTTTCAGAAGATGAGACCTTTGCCCCTTACACCAAAAGAATTTGGGTCCCATTTGTTTGAGGGGGGAATGATGGAGTTGGAATCTGGGCCCCAGAAAGGAAAAACCCTGGACTTTCCCATATGGCCAAATCTCTGGCATTTGCCTGAGGCTATAATCCCATCAACTGGCCTTTCATTGTGGCTACACCCAATCTCCCCTCCATTGTTTTACCTCCCTATGGCCCCCAGATATTTCCCACCCTTAATCCTAGCTAGGTTCCATTCTCCCTTGGGCACGAGGTCCAGGTCCCAGTTCACCCCAGCTTATTGGCCACTCCTAGGTCCCCCCCACAGGCTTTCTGTATATAAGGTCCACCTTGTCTCCATTAAAATGCTCAGATTCTTATAATCTAGCCTCCACTTACCCATGTTCAGACTCCTTAAGAGTCTGCCCAATATGACAATGTTCTAATAAACCTTGTCTTTGGTTGAAAGAAGGCTTGGGTCGAATTCTCTCGGGCAGGAACTGCGTATTCTGATTTTGGGGTTCCAGTACACCTGAACCCCTAAAATGCATCAGAAGTATCAGGAAGATTGTAACCCGGAAGAGCAGGGACCAATCTCGGCTCTGAAGGGAGGGACAAAAAGGAACTAACTGCACAAAAGGCTTGCTCTGGCTTCTGTTGGGGTGTGTGTGTGTGTGTCCTTTTGGGGTACCACATACACCTGCTTCTTACAAGAACCATAAATAAATACTTCCTTCACTCAAAAAAAATGAATGTCTCATCTGCCAACCCCCCTATAAATTTACCACTCACAGGTCCATGGATGATATGCTTTACAAAGCCCTAGTACTGCCTCCATTTATGACCTTTTCAAAAAGCACACTGGACCTTCTGAAACATGTCCTAAGTCCCTGCAGAAGTTAGTGGACTCACCTTTGGAATTCCCATCCTGGGGCCAATCTGTATTCATTGAGGGAGGGAGTGCAAACTCGTCTAACTCACCATATTTAGCCAGACCTAGACTACACAATGCTTCACTTCCCATTCTCTCAAGCTTGTGTCCCCAGCATTACTTCCCTCTAGCTCTGAACACAACAAACAAACAAATCTAGCATTATTTCTGGAAAGGGTATGTCAATTGACTGACCTTTATAGCAACTCACCTTCCCTATAACTCCACAAACCATGTTCACCTTCCCTGGGCATCACTCTTTATATGTACTGTCTCCAATATTAGAATATAAAGCTTCTTGGAAGCAATACCTGTTGTTGCTGTCATTGTTATTGTTGTTGTTTGTCCTTCTTTCTTGAAGAGGACCATGACATCAGGAAGGTAATGCCATGACTTGCAAGAGAGTTGGATTTAAATGAG